AAATCTGGATAGGTTTTTTTTTCTGTTTTTCTAAATATGTTAGTTCAACTTTTTTTTTTACATTTTTTTAAATGTTTGAAAAAAAAAAGTAATATTATATTTCAACTCTTTTTTGTTTGTGTGTTACATTTTAGACTTTTTTTTTTCTTGTGGGTGTTTTTTTTCTTAGGTGGGGTCATTGGAGACCTAATCCAGGCCCATCAGAGAGCTGTGCAACAATGGATTGCTTTGAATAGTGATCTATTGCTGGCTTCAATCACCAAGCAATATATCACTATAGCAGCCAGGACCTTCATGAGCCACTGAGTCCTGGTGCTATTTTAAAACAGTGTTGAAACTGATAGTTGCTGTGTCAGGACTTGAATCACCTGCTGGTGGCACTGTAATTCCCAGAGCAGGAGGTTGCAGTTCCGGTGTCCACCAGTGGGTGTCTCCAATCAGCCAGCAGTTTCTAGTAATCAACCACCACCTGATGCTTGCTGCTGGGTGGGTATGTAGGTTCTCCTCTGCTATTACACTGTGCATCAGTATTTTGCTTTTGCTTGCCTGATTTTGCTATTGCTGCACCCAGATCTTGCTTTCAGTAATTCTGATCTTGCTCCTTCCCCGCACCCTGTACCCTGTGCCCTGCTGCATTGTACCTGCTCTCCTTTATTCCTGACCCCAGTTTTTTCCCCCTTCTCATTTGATCCTTGCACCTCCAGTTTTCCCTGCATTTCTCTGTTCCCCATGTTTTATATATTGTACAGGGGTTGGACAAGAAATGGAAACACTGCATGATTTGCAGGTGTGAAAGTGATGACATATTTTTTGTTGAAAGCGGAAATGATGTAACACTCTTCTGCTTCTGCTGTGTGATGAGACACCTAGCTAACTAGCTAACAAGTTGTGTGGCCATGCAGATCTGGTCATCTCTGCTGCTGATTCTTGACATGCTAACATGCTGAAACACTGACCCTGTTTTTAGGAGCATATGACATTGTCATTTTTAACATCAGGTCATGCTGTTTCTACAATCTCCGTGCGTAGATTATTAATAAATATTCATATTCAGACAGATTTTGAACATTTCTTTTCTGTTAGAATCAACTTGACTTACACCTGGACAAATCAAATTGACCATATGGTGAAAACAAATTATAAGCAGAGTTTACTTTTTATTGAAAACTACACATATTAGGCACAGAGATATAGGCAGCTTAAGGTCTAAATAGATCACAAATTTTCCCATGGAAATAAAGTTTGGTCTCACCTCCCTGTAATTTGGCCACTTTGGCTCAAGCACTGATACATGAGAGGGGCCACAAGCCAATCCTCCACTTCTAGGGTCCCCCACTGGCACTTTTGGGCCATTCCTCTTGCCAAGTGCCCCCAGAGCAAGCAGTTTGCTATGGAGGCACCCAAACAGACTTGCTCTCGAGCCGTTGCGCTGCATGTCCTTTCAAACACAGGCCCAACCCCCCAGTCTCTCCTCACTGGCTGAGACTGACAGCAGCGATAGCCAATAGCCAATGAAGAGAGAGAGTACCCAGAGAGCCAAGGTCCTGATGCATGCCGCTTGATTGGGGCTCTTGTAAGTATTGGGGGAGGAGGGGGGGCTATTGCACATGGAAGGTTTTTTTACCTTTATGCATTGAATGCATGAAGGTAAAAAGCCTTGAGCATTTACAACCACTTTAAGGAACCCAATGCACTTCCTGCACCAGCTTGCAGAAAGGTAATTTAAACAGTAACTGAACAGTAATAGGACATTTCTGTACTTTCCCCTCCTGCAAACATGTTCCCTGCATTAGACTGACAACATTAGAACAGGGGTCTCCAAACTTTCTAAACACAGGTACAGATTTTAGGAGGTCGGACTGCAGCCAGTGGAGGTAGAAAATGTTTCAACATCAGTGGGAGGAATAGTGCCCCATCATACATGCCAGTGCCAGGAAGAGGGCCTCATCACTGGTGTCGGAGGAAGGAATAGTGCCACTTCTATGGTGTCAGCAGGAGGAATAGTGTCCCATCAATGGTGTTAGTGTGATGAATAGTGTCCCATCCTTGATGTCAATGGAAAGAATACTGTCCCATCATTGGTTTCAGTAGGACAAATGGTGCCCTACTGTTGGTGTCAATAGGAGAATAGTGTCACATCATTGATGTCAGTGGGATGAATGATGTCACATTGTTAATGTCAGTGGGAGGAAAGGTGCACTATTGTTGATGTCAGTGGGAGGAATAGTACCCCATTGTTGGTGGCAGTGAGAGGGATAGTTTCCCATCATTAGTGTCAGTGGGAGGAATGGTGCACCATGGTTGATGTCAGTGGGAGGATTGGTGCCCCATTGTTGGTGTCAATGGGAAGAATACTGTGCCACCACTGGTGTCAGTGGAAGGAACAGTGTTCCATCATTGGTGTCAGTGGGAGGAATAGTATCCCATTGTTGGTGTCATTGGGGTAATAGTGCCTCATCAGTGATGTTGATGGGAGGAATGGTGTCCCATTGTTGCCAGTGGAAGGAATAGTGCCTCATTGTGCCAGTGGAAGGAATAGTGCCCCATTGTTGGTGCCAGTGGGTGGAATAGTGCCCCATTGTTGGTGCCAGTGGGTGGAATAGTGCCCCATTGTTGGTGCCAGTGGGTGGAATAGTGTCCCATTGTTGGTGCCAGTGGGTGGAATAGTGCCCCATTGTTGGTGACAGTGGAAGGAATAGTGCCTCATTGTTCGTGCCAGTGGGAGGAATAGGTCCCCATGATTGATGTCAGTGAGAGGAATTGTGCCCTGTAAATGATGTCTATGGGAGAAATAGTGCCCCAAGGGCCAGGCCGCAGGTTGGAGACCACCAGTGTAATAGAATAGAGCACTACTGGCTGACACTTCTTCCCTTTCCTCTCTAGGTCAGAGTGCAGCTGTGTAGGGGATTAGATAAAATGACCGACAAGCTGATAAAAGGACAAATGTAGGCACTTATACCACCTGTTTTTAAAATACAGCCATTTTTTTAATGAATACATGGCTGCATTAATTAATGTTTGTAAATTTGCCTGGAGTACAACTTTAAGAATTTCTTATGTTCAGAAAAAGCTGTCTGTTATATTTTGAATGGAGATGTGTTTCCAAGACCCCTACTAACAATAATCTTGATATTACTGTAATTAAATGTTAATGATCTGCATTTCCAGACATATAACACTGATAAGGCTGTTACTGACAGGCACCTTATCATACTTCTTAGGCATCAAAGCAGGACAAATATATTTTCACCCACAAATGTCTGATTAGAGAGATATGTATCTGCATAGATTAAAATAAATTGCCTGCAGCATGTCTTGGTTTCAGGGTTGCGTGAAGTGATAGTAGCAGAGACCGAAGGATGTAAAAGTGATTGATAATACATTGTGAACTGAGGAAACGGCTACATACCTGACGGTAACATCATGGTACAATAGCAGCGTGTTGTGTTTTCAACATGTGGAATAGAATAATTACATGCAGTGTAGATTGCTTTACAACACCGAGATAAATGAAACGTAAAAATAAGATAAATGCGAAAGAAATATTTCCTACGTATATAGGAATGTGACTAAAAAGAATATTCAGATTACAGTCTGCAGCTTGAAACATTTTTAAAAAGATAAATTTCATGGACTGATACATTTCTGTTAAATATATGTCTGCCCGGAAAATGTACTTAAAGGAAAGCCGTTACGGTTCTGGATCAATTTTATTATTTTTTTAAGCTTATGCTTGAAACTGTTTTTTAGATTTTTTTTACTATTTATATCAAAATTTTCTTTTACACATAAGCTTTAAAAGCAGGACCCAACGTTAACTAAATGGAATTTAATTTGCTAAAGAACAACGGATCATAAACAACTGACTTTTTTTTAAGATAAAATATTATTTTAGGGGTTTTGTTCACCCTTTATTATACCTGGGTGCTGCTGATCGCCAACCTCTTTCAGCCGATTCCTGTCTACATGCACTCGCTACAACATGTGCATCTTTGTTTCTGAAAAAGCTTTCTGACAGCTGATCATGCCTCTGCAATACAGGAGCACAATTAGGAGACAGTAATCACTGCATTACAAAGAAAAAGCTTTAATGCAGTTGAAAATCCTTTTTTTATATATATAGATATATATCTATATATATATATATATGTCCAGTGAAGTGACTAGCCTCAGGTGATACACAGAGATTAAACAATCCTCCTGTATACGTTGTACCTGTTTATCTGTAGCCATGTCTTCTCTATATCAATTCAAAGTCCAGAATGTATGAAGATTGTCTGAGCTTTCAGAAAACAGGGGGGCAGAGAACTGAAATTACAGACTGTAGAGCTCAGTGAGAGGAGCTGACTGGAGGGAAAGGGACACACACCCCTCCACACAGCTCACAGGAACAGAGCCTAGGCTGTCAATCTGCAGGAGGTCCATCTGAATATAACCTACAATGCCTGATGATTACCAACAATCACAAACGGGGAGAAAGACTGTTTTGTTTACAAACAGTCTTCCTCCCTGTCAGCTCGGGCACACTGCTCGGGATGGCTGTGCACAGCATAGCCATCCCAATCAGTGTGCTTACAGTGAAGCACACACACCCCGCCCCCTAGTAAAACACTCCCATCACACAGTTAACCCTTTGATCACCCTCACATTAACCCCTTCTTGTCCAGTGTCATTAGTATAGTGTCATTGCTGTTTTTTAGCACTGATCACTGTATTGGTGTCACTGGGGATGTCAGTGACACCAAGTTAGTTCCCACCCTGTGTCAGAATGCCTGCCGCAGTCCCTCAGTCCCGGTAAATCGCTGTCATTACTAGTAGGGAAAAAAAATCCCAGTATCTATACCACCATTTGTAAACACTATAACATTCACATAAACGTTGGCCTAAATTTATGACAAAATCTGATTTTAAAAATTTTTTTACTGGACATATTTAACTGCCTCCCGCCCGCCATATAGTACAATGATGGACGCAAGGCGGTTCTCTCCTTCCGGGAGGAAGTCATATGACGTCCTCCCATTCTAACTGCGCATGCGCGGCTCCAGTAGTGCGCAGTGCGGAAATCGGCAGTGCGCTTTGTCCCTCAGACACAGCTGATCACCGATCAACGGAACGAACCAAAGATGTTGACTCGATGCTGACAGCTCATGAGGAGAGGAGAGCCGGTAATCGGCATCCCTCAGAGTGGACATGTACACAGATCATCAGAGCACTGATGATCAGTGTGCCCTGATGATATGTGTAGCCCCAGCAGTGCCACCTGTCAGTGTTCATCAGTGCCAGCTGTCAGTGCTAATCCATGCCACCTGCCAGTGCCCATCAATGCCACATATCAGTGCCCATCATTGCCACATCAATGCCACATATCAGTGCCCATCTGAGCTGCCTTTCAGTGTCACCTATCAATGCCAGCCAGTGCCACCTACAGTATCAGTGCTGCCAATCAGTGCCACCTATCAGTGTAAGTCAGTGTAGCCTATCAGTGTGCATCAGTGCTGCCTATCAGTGCCCATCAGTGCTGCCTATCAGTGCCGCCTAACAGTGCCAGTCAGTGCCACCTAACAGTGCCAGTCAGTGCCACCTAACAGTGCCAGTCAGTGCCGCCTAGCAGTGCCAGTCAGTGCCGCCTGTCAGTGCCGCCTATCAGTGCCATATATGAGTGCTGCCTTTCAGTGCCCATCAGTGATGCCTGTCAATGCCCATCAGTGCCACCTATCAGTGTGCCCATCAGTGCAGCCTATCAGTGCCCATCACTGCAGCCTCATTAGCGCACATTAGTGAAGCAGAAAAATCACTTATTTACAACATTTTATAACACAAACTAAGAAAAAACTTTTTTTTTTCTAAATTTTCAGTGGTTTTTGGTTTGTTTAAGAAAAAATAAAAAACCCAGAGGTGATTAAATACCACCAAAAGAAATCTCTATTTGTCACAAAAAATAATAAAAATGTCATATGGGTACAGTGTAAAATTGCCCAAAACTTGTATACAAGCCAGTGGGTGGACAGGCCTACATTTTAGTTAATAAATCACCTCCAATGTTGGGTGTCCTACAAGTGTGGATGTTGCTGCATTATAAAAACTATTAGAATATTTTCTCATATTTTAGAATGGGGTGCCCTTTTAAAATTATGGACAGTCTTGATGCACCCTATTTTAGAATGGGGTGCCTCAAGACTGTCCATAATTTCAAAGGGTGCCTCGGGACTACCCATAATTTTTAAAGGGTGCCTTGACTGAAAAAAAAATTGGAAACACTGGAATAGAATATAATTGAAAATAATAGAATGGAATAGAAAATAAAATATTAGAATAAAATAGAAAAAAATAGATTAGAATGGAATAGAATAAAATACAATAGAAAGGAATAGAGTGAAACCGGATAGAATAGAATAACAAATAACAGAATGAAATAGAAAATAAGAGAACATAAAATAATAGAGTAAAACAGAACAGATTATAATAAAAAATAAAAGAATAGAATAAAACAGAAGAGAAAATAAAATAATAGAATAGAAAATAATAGAATAGATTAGAAGAGAATGGAATAGAATAAAATAAAATAGAACTAAATATGAAGAATATAGCCATCTTCTGAAATTGAAATTTTGAAAAGAATAGAATAGAAATATAAAATTTTCATATGTGATAATTAATCTTTACTGGACTAATTTGTTTCTACAAGTTATTTAAACCTGAACATAATAAAGTAAGAAAAAAAAAAATACAAAAGAACTACATGTCCTCTTTGATGTAAAGATATTTTGTGTGGTTGACCCTCTGCATCAGGCTTTCCAAAAGTGGTACAAATCTCAGATTCAGGTAACGTGTGCTCCACTTAAAGTGATACTAAAGTCAATATTGTTTAAAAAAATAGGTTATATTTACCTGTTCTGTGCAACAATATTACACGGAAAGCACGCTCCTCTGCTCTTCCTGTTGTCCCTGTGGTAATGACTTCTCCATGACGCGGGGTGCTAAGGAGGCACCTATGCATGCACGCTCCCAAGCTGGACTGTGTGCGTCCATAAACCCCTCACTGCTCTCTTTCACAGGAGTTTACCTGACAGAAGCAGGAGCCAGTGGCTCTGCTGCCTTCAGTTCCTCCTGTAAATGCAGGAAGTGAGGGGAGCGGTGCTGGAGCCAGACACAGTGCTGGAATGATGATAAGAGCCAGGTAAGTGTTTAGGATCCGGGCAGCTAGGACAGATAATGGGGTGTGTTTTACCTCAATGCAGAGAATGCATTAAAGTAAAAAAAAAAAAACGTTAGAATTTAGAACCACTTTAATTTGTACAATCCTTTAACCACTTCCCGACCGCCCTATAGCAGAAGTACCGCTACAGGGTGGCAAGGCTGCGCAGAATTATGTATAAATACGTGACTTTGCATCCCAAGGTAGGAGGCACACGCGCATCACCTTACCTGCGCCGGCATTGGTGGCTACAGATGTCGATCACCGGGTCCTGGATGGAGATTTCCTGTCGGCACCCTGCAATCGCCGAGTATCACTGACAAGGGAGAGACCTGTGTAGAAACAATACAGGTCTCTCTCCTGCCAGCAGTAACATGCTGCATACTGTCACCAACGCAGTACAGCGTCATCATATAAATGGTGTGGCGGTGATCAGGGACACTAACTGATGACAGTATGTAAAAAAAAAATATTACATTTTGTAATTATTTTTACTATTTTTTTCCTACCCCTGTGACCAGAGCAATACAATGTTACTATAGTAACATTGTATTACTCTGGGCAAGTGATCAGGAATTTTTTTTTTTTTTTTTTTATGATCACTTATACCAACATATTGCATTGGTATAAGCAAGAATTTTTACTGAATGAAACTGATGCATTCAGTAGTTTTTGTTGTGATCAGCTGTGATTGGCCATAGCTGATCACATGCTACAGATGGGCTGTGAATGGCCAAGTCTGTACATGTCATCACTGTGACCAATCACAGCTTGCAGCACAGTTGTAAGCAGTGAGTAGAATGAAAGAAAGCCATTGATTGTTTACAACTGTCATGTGGTCTGCTGTGATTGGTCACAGCGATTACGTGAAACTGGCAGTGGGCCGGTGTAGTGATCTGTCATAGGCCATGTTCCATGGACACAGCCAATAACAGAACATGCTGGAGCATCACCCATGGGGCACGTGTGATAATAGGGTTCCCACTTGGCCATCATTGTATAATAGGCTGGGCGGGAAGAAGTTAAAGTCACAGAATGAGACATACAGTCTAATAGACACTGTAGCAACAACCACCATTTTCAAAGTTTTACCTTCACTTTCTTATTACAGCAATTGCACATGTGGGGGGGTGGAGTGTGGTGCAGCGGCAATAAAGAAACAGAGTCTGGTTGCAATAAAACTGGAAATTTGTGTTTAAGAGCATGCCAAACTACAAACACCCTAGCAGGTGAGGGCCACTTGGAGAAATCACTTCCAGTTTGATTCAAATGCAGAAATGCAGTGGGAAGATATGTGCACTGACAGTGTCTGTTTCAGAGGCTTGGCCCATCCAGTCCAAAAAAAGGCAAGGCTTCTTTGAAGATAGTGAATCCCTAGCCTGTAAGGAATGGACTCGCCAATGGTGGTGGGACTCACCTGCCTTGTGGGCTGCAGTACCAAGGCTGGCCAGCGGGTGCTCTCAGCAGCCAGAATCTCACTCCTGCAATCAGGCCATCACCTGAGGCTGATTGCAGGAGGTGTATTTAAGCAGGACCGGGCCTGTGATCAGTGCCTTGGTGTATGTTTCCCATGAGCCCCTGTACCTGCATCCTGTCTGATCCTGATTCTGCTTTGATCCTGACTCTAAACAAACTCCGCCTGTCCTGACCTCGGCTATTCCTGACCACTCTTCCGCTCGCTCCTGGTACCCTGTTTGCCCATTTGCTACCGACCCAGCCTGCCCGACTACGTTTGATTTGTATATATGGTTATCTGTTGGAGGTTGGGTTGTTTGCACTGCGTTATGCTTACCTTGCACTGCATTTGTGTTGTTTAGTCTTTTAATAAATTGTCTTGTTTACTCTATACCTGAAGCCTGTGATTCCCTGTGTCAGTCCACACCCCTCTGGTCATATCCGGAGCCCTGACACCTAGCCTGTCCCTACTCATTACGAAACCTTCCCTGCCGCTAGTCACTTTCCCTGACAGATGGGGTCTCTCTCCCTATGCTACCCACTTAGCAAAAGTGCGCAAAAAACCCAGGGGCAGGGACTTATAAAGATCCTGTTGACCATAGTTGGCCAATGAGGTCACATGGATGCAGCGTTGCCAACTTGGAATGCTGCTCCAGGACCCTGCAATATAAGGCTGTGTGTGGAAGCTTGCAATGAGGGCTGAGTAACAGCCACCACACAGAACATACACTATATTGCCGAAAGTATTGGGACGCCTGCCTTTACACACAAACTTTAATGGCATCCCAGTCTTAGTCCATAGGGTTCAATATTGAGTTGGTCCACCCTTTGCAGCTATAACAGCTTCAACTCTTCAGGGAAAGCTGTCCACAAGGTTTAGGAGTGTGGAAGAATATTTGACCATTCTTCCAAAAGCGCATTTGTGAGGTCGGGCACTGATGTCGGACGAGAAGGCCTGGCTCGCAGTCTCTGCTCTAATTCATTCCAAAGATGTTCTTTTGGGTTGAGGTCAGGACTCTGTGCAGGCCAGTCATGTTCCTCCACCCCAAACTTGCTCATCCATGTCTTTACGGACCTTGCTTTTTGCACTGGTGCACAGTCATGTTGGAACAGGAAGGGGCCATCCCCAAACTGTTCCCACAAAGTTGGAAGCATGAAATTTGTCCAAAATGTCTTGGTATGCTGACACCTTAAGAATTCCCTTCAGTGGCCAAGCCCAACCCCTGAAAAACAACCCCACACCATAATCCCCCTATGTGTCCCTATACTATTGGCAATATAGTGTATGTTTAGCTACCCATGGGATGGGTAGAATGTCAAATGAAAACTCTTAGAAAAAGGTTCTAAGAAAGTTTGTTCATTTTTCTAACATTTGTAGTGTCAAATCAACAGGGGTTTTTTTAAAGTAGTTATGAGAAAATTTGAAGCAAGATGGAATATTTTTCATGAACAAGCACATTTCTAGCAGTGTATGTGGTTTTCGTTCAGTAAAATCCATTCATTCCAAAATCAAATGTTGAAAACAAATCAATTTTTTTAAAGAACATTCAAACTTTCTGTGAATTTTTATACAAATTTTCTTAAGACTTTTCCTAAGAATTTTCATTTGAAATTCTATATGTCTATAGACAGCTTTGTATAAGTATGCATTGTACAGGCTGAATAGGCTGTGGACTGCATTGATGTGTGTAGGGATCCATTAGCAATAGGGTAATGGTTTATAAGTATGAAGCTGTTTGAAGGGTTTACTATAAAACTACAAATTAAACTGGACCCCTGGTCAATCACAGTAGCATTGGTGAGGTGAAAGACTTCTCAGGACCAGTTAAATGAATGCTGATTGGAAATAAGGATGCAGCATGTAGACT